CCTCACCTGTGCCTTGAATGTGTCATCTGGGAAAGATATTGGATTCATGGGAGAAGAAAGAGGATTCCCGGCTGTTTGGAACTGAGTTTGGCCGGTTGTTGATCTTGGTTCTACTTGCTTGATATTCTGGTTTGTATCCAGCTGGGGTCTAAACCTGAGACTTCAGCTTTGATTTTTGGAAAAAAAAATAAACCTTTTCCCAAAGAAGGTAAATGGCACATGGTGCTGAAACTCTAATCCCAGTACCAAAGTTGTGGGAAGACTCAGCTCGATTGGGGCTGATGGAGAGATTTTGGTGGAGTTGCCTTTTGGTGATTTGCCTGCTGCCATCCCAGTCAAGAACACCAACTACGAGTTGCTTAACTCAACCTTTTCGCAGACCAGAATCCCCAACTTTTACTTCCATTTAGAAAGAAAAAAAAAAAAAACTCCATCAATGTGGGCTTATTTGAGAGAATGGAGCTGTGTCATTTTCAAGCATTTGTGGCATTCCAAAGTTTGGCAATTTGTCAATCAGACATAATGAGAGTAGATGAAGAGTCTGAGGAGCTTGGAGGGGGCCTATGGTAGTAATTTAGGATCCATTTATACCTGTTTCTTTTTTTTTCTTTTTTTTTCTTTCTTTCTTTATTTATTTATTAAATATTTCAGTCTCTTCCCCACCTCCGCCTCCCCTTTCCTTCCCCCTCCCCCAATCCGTTCCCCCTCCCTCGTCAGCCCAAAGAGCAATCAGGGCTCTCCGTCCCGTGGGAAGTCCGAGGAAAACCCTCCTCCGTCCAGGTCTCGTAAGGTGAGCATCCAAACTGCCTAGGCTCCCACAAAGCCACTACATGCAGTAGGATCAAAGACCCATTGCCACTGTTCTTGATGTCTCAGTAGTCCTCATTGTCCGCTATGTTCAGTGAGACCGGTTTTAACCCAGGCTTTTTCAGACCCAGGTCAGCTGGCCTTGGTGAGTTCCCGATAGAGCATCTCCATTGTCTCAGTGTGTGGGTGCACCCCTCGCGGTCCTGAGTTCCTTGCTCATGTTCGCTCTCCTTCTGCTCCTGATTTGGACCTTGAGATTTCAGTCCGGTGCTCCAATGTGGGTCTCTGTCTCTGTCTCCTTTCATCGCCTGATGAAGGTTAATATTCAGGAGGATGCCTATATGTTTTTCTTTGGGTTCTCCTTCTTATTTAGCTTCTCTAAGAACCCGAATTGTAGGCTCAATGTCCTTTATTTATGGCTAGAAACCAAATATGAGTGAGAACATCCCATGTTCCTCTTTTTGGGTCTGGCTTACCTCACTCAGGATAGTGTTTTCTATTTCCATCCATTTGCCTGCAAACTTCAAGAAGTCCTTGTTTTTTACTGCTGAGTAGTACTCTAATATGTATATATTCCATACTTTCTTCATCCATTCTTCAATTGAGGGGCATCTAGGTTGTTTCCAGGTTCTGGCTATTACAAATAATGCTGCTATGAACATAGTAGAGCATATATTTTTGTTGCATGATAAGGCCTCTCTTGGGTATATTCCCAAGAGTGGTATTGCTGGGTCCATGGGTAGGTTGATCCCAAATTTTCTGAGAAACCGCCACACTGCTTTCCAGAGTGGTTGTACAAGTTTGCATTCCCACCAGCAATGGATAAGTGTACCCCTTTCTCCACAACCTCTCCAGCATAGGCTATCATTGGTGTTTTTGATTTTAGCCATTCTGACAGGTGTAAGATGGTATCTTAAAGTTGTCTTGATTTGCATTTCCCTGATCGCTAAGGAAGTTGAGCATGACCTTAGGTGTCTTTTGGCCATTTGAACTTCTTCTGTTGAGAGATCTCTGTTCAGCTCAGTGCCCCATTTTATAATTGGGTTGATTAGCCTTTTACAGTCTAGTTTCTTAAGTTCTTTATATATTTTGGAGATCAGACCTTTGTCAGTTGCGGGGTTGGTGAAGATCTTCTCCCAGTCAGTGGGTTGCCTTTCTGTCTTAGCGACAGTGTCCTTTGCTTTACAGAAGCTTCTCAGTCTCATGAGGTCCCATTTATTCAATGAGGCCCTTACTGTCTGTGCTGCTGATGTTATACGTAGGAAGCGGTCTCCTGTGCCCACTTGTTGTAGTGTAGTTCCCACTTTCTCTCCTATCAGGTTCAGTGTGTTCAGACTGATATTGAGGTCTTTAATCCACTTGGACTTGAGTTTTGTGCATGGTGACAGACATGGATCTATTTTCATTTTTGTACAGATTGAAATCCAGTTTTGCCAGCACAATTTGTTGAAGATGCTCTCTTTTTTCCATTGTATAGTTTTAGCTCCTTTATCGAAAATCAGTTGCTCATAGGTTTGTGGATTAAAGTCAGGGTCTTCTATACGGTTCCATTGGTCGACTTCTCTGTTTTTATGCCAATACCAAGCTGTTTTTAATACTGTAGCTCTGTAATAGAGTTTGAAGTCAGGGATGGTAATGCCTCCAGACGTTCCTTTATTGTATAAGATTGTTTTGGCTATCCTGGGTTTTTTATTTTTCCATATAAAGTTGATTATTGTCTTCTCCAGATCTGTGAAGAATTTTGATGGGATTTTGATGGGGATTGCATTGAATCTATATATTGCTTTTGGAAGAATTGCCATTTTTACTATGTTGATCCTCCCAATCCAAGAGCAAGGGAGATCCTTCCATTTTCTGGTGTCTTCTTCTATTTCGTTCTTCAAAGTCTTAAAGTTCTTGTCATATAGATCTTTCACTTCCTTGGTCAGGGTTACCCCAAGATATTTTATGCTCTTTGTGGCTATCATGAAAGGTGATGCTTCTCTGATTTCCCTCTCTGTTTCCTTATCCTTACTGTATAGGAAGGCAACTGATTTTTTCGAGTTGATCTTGTATCCTGCCACATTACTGAAGGTGTTTATCAGCTGTAGGAGTTCTTTGGTAGAGTTTTTGGGGTCGCTTATGTATACTATCATATCATCTGCAAATAACGAAAGCTTAACTTCTTCCTTTCCAATACGAATCCCTTTGATCCCCTTATGTTGTCTTATTGCTATTGCTAGAACTTCAAGCACTATATTGAAGAGGTATGGAGAGAGTGGACATCCTTGTCTTGTTCCTGATTTTAGTGGGATGGCTTTGAGTTTTTCTCCGTTTAATTTAATGTTAAGACTCGGACACTAATGGAAGTAGGTCTTAAGAATGTCAAACTATTTCGCTTCTTGGCTTCCACCCTGTTGCTCACACTTTCCATTCAATTGCACTTGATTGTGCCTAAGTTCCCTCTTCTTAACTTTTTTACAAACCATCTTCTTCACTTCCCCTTCAAATCAGTAAACCTCTCTCAGCCACAGGGTTCCTGTGTCTTGGCCTTTAATTTCAAAGTAGTCTTTTTTTTAAAAAAAATTTATTTTATGTTCATTGCTGTTTTGCCTGCCTATATGTCTGTGAGGATGTCAGATCCCCTGGAACTGCAGTTACAGATAGTTGGGAGCTGTGAAATTGAAGCCAGCAGTCAGTACTCTAACAGCTGAGCCTTCTCTTCAGCCCTCCAAACCATTCTTAATTGTCTGAATGAAATGGCAGCAACTAAGTCATGCATTAGAGAAATACAGTAGCCAGAAAGTCCCACTCTGCCATATCTTCCTGTTTTGAGTTTGGGAATGTAGAGTTGTGTGTGTGTGTGTGTGTGTGTGTGTGTGAGAGAGAGAGAGAGAGAGAGAGAGAGAGAGAGACAGAGACAGAGAGAGAGACAGAGACAGAGAGACAGAGAGACAGAGAAACAGAGACAGAGAGACAGCTGAATAGGGATTAAAGTAAAAAGGAGCTGGGGAAGAGCCCCATGGGCACTGTACAGGTATGAGTAATTGACAGGACCACACTTCTGATACGATCTCCATGGGAGCCAAGATCTGTCTCTGTAAGTAAAGAAGCCGAACAGTAGGCAAGAACTGTGTCTCTGTCACTTTGAAGGGATGCATTTTCTTTTAAGGCTTCTGACCTCAAATCTATTCTTGTAGTTTCTGTAGCCAATCTTTTCATGTAGATCCCAGAACTATTTGTTAAGGTTGAGCCTACTGATTGAGTACAGTGTTAACTTTCTTGAGTGATGTCTTTCCGGTAGTGCCTGTGAGCTCTGATTTAATTTGTTTATAGCAGAGACATCATATAAAGATGTAATAATGAAAGAATATGTCTTATAGACTTTTATGACAGCATTATTTCATTTATGTTTTCTTCAAATTTAGTTTTGGTAAAATTATGGTTAGTAACTTCTATTCTATTTCTGTAATTTATTTATGAAAACTGTTTTTACAGACAAAATTATCTTGTTTCCAAATTCATATTTCATTTGTTTCCATAGTAGCTAATTGACTTAATTAAATCAGTAATAAAGCTAATAAGTTCAACTTAGATAAAAGATTTGCAAATAAACACGACTGGCTTTTACAAGCATTGGGTTCCCTGGCTCCATCTGCAAACACACTTAACAAGCACCAAGGAGCTAATGAGTTAGCTGTGTTGTTTTGTATATCAGAAGGAAGCCTGCTTGGTTCCTATTGTGAGAACACCTCAGATCTTGGTCAATGTTTACGGATGTGTTAGAAATGTTGCTGAACCCAAGAGGATTAAGTTGGGTTCCACTGAGAGCACATTCATTTTCTTATGTAGTTTGTAAAGCTGACGGTGGATTGCAGGTTCAAAACCCAGAGTCATTGCACGGCGGCACAAATAGCTACTAATACAATCTCTATGGTTTGAGACATATGAGATACCTCTAAGTTCCAAATATTTGCTTCAATATACATGAAAGGCACGAAAGCCCTTGAGTTATTGCAATCATACACTGTGGTGCCTGGGCATTCTCTTTTAAGTGCATGTGTCTTTAACTGTTCACACCCAGCTTTATTCTGACCATCTTATTTGAATTGGCTCATTGAAGTGGCCCTGCTGTCAGGAAAAGCCTTGGAAAGTGTAAATGTTTTGAGAATCAGGGCCAACAGAGAACCGAGTGCCTCAAAGACAATTCCATTCTCCGTTTCCCAATAGTACTGAGGACTGAACCTGAACAAGAGACTGCTGGTCAGAAACAAGAACAACTGGGAGTCTTGGAGAGCTCGCCGTTGTCCCACACTGTGCCTGCTTCCAGGGAGTACAAAGCCATGTCGGTGAGTCACGGGTTTGTTAGTAAATATTTATGTGGCTATTATTGGTTTGGCGTTTAGGCCTGGCAATCGTCTAGCTGCAGTAAGTTTTTAAAACAGAAGAGTTTACCAAAAGGCTTAGCAGAAATAAGAATGAGGAAAGTAATTCCAGATGTAGGGTGATGGTAGGCTTTCTGGAGGCTGCCCGTGGGCCGAGCCTCAGAGAGCGAGCATGTATTAGGAAGACAAGGGAGCAAGGGAATGACACTGAAGGTTCCTCAAGAGATGCTTGTGCTATTGAGCAATTCTTTGCTTTGTAGGATAATCGGGGTTGGGGGGTCAAACATTTCAAAGATTTTTATTCATTTTTTTCCCTCCTACAATACTCAGAACATGGGACAGTTCTTCCCAGCATAGATGTATGTAGTCTCTTGGGGCCTAGATGCCTAGGAATTTCTGTCGACTCCAGTCAAAAATGTGTGGCCAATGACGTGGCTTCAAGTGGCCACAGCTTCCACTGAGAATTCAAAATGTTTTGTAATAACATAATGGTGGAGGGCTTAGAGCCAACCTTCATCACCTACTAATGTCAAATTATATTTGTCGATCTAAAATTGTAGAGAGAAAAAGCACTGGCAATTTAGGGAGTTGTTTTCAAGAGGTGAATGTAGATTGGTTATTGGATTCCTACACACCCGGACTTTGTTGCGGAACATTGCACAGTTAAGTAGTTTCCTCACCATGGACGATGAACAGCTTCATCATTCGGAATTCAACAATGGAGCGGGTTTTATTGAGTGGAAAAGTGGAAAGAGACCCTTGCAAGTTCCTTCCATCCTGCAGGAAGGATACTAAGCATCTTCTGTGTGTGGAACATGATGTTCTTTGAGCTGTAGGCTTCTAGCAATGGTTAGGGCAATGACAATTATAGTAATAGCTAACCTTTATTAATTACGGACTGAACTGAGTTGTTTTTATGTCAATTAAGTTATTGTCCTCATTTTATAGATGGGTAACCTGAGAGTTAATGAGTTTTTAACCTCAATTAAGTTTGTACATTTAGCCTGCTGCTGCATTGCTAGACTATTTTCAATGAGTATATATACACTCCCATTATTTCTTTAGTATTAACTAGATACTTCTAGTCAAGACTTCAGAGTAATGTTTTGTGTAGGTAAAGGTGAAGGGGGGAATTTTTCATGGGGCTTTTAGACCAACTTTATAATGTATATTAGTCCACAAAATGTGATTAACCGGGTGCTTTAATTGGTGTGTAGCTGTTACAAATCTAAGCAGAAAAAGAGTATACATACCCACACCCAAATATTTGATTGCTTAAACAGGATCTCACAGTAACTCAGGCTGGCCATGAACTCACAGCAGTCCTCTTGCTTCAAACTTCACAAGTGCTAGGGTTACAGACATGGGTCACCATGCCTGGTAAAAGTGAATAAATGCTAAGAGTGGGAAAGAAATCCACTAGATGCTGAGGAAGGAGAAGGAGCAACACACATGCTGGTTATTTACACAAAGCTAAGTGTATTTTTAGAAAATAAATCCTTCCCCACAGTCAAAGGTGGGCATTTGGTCCCACTGAGCTATGACAAACTAAGGTAAGGAAGAAAAATCCCCACCCTTGAGGAAGCTTGCTGGTCACAACATCCTGGAGCACTACAGGGTGCAGAGCAGAGTCAAGCCTTCTCACCGGGGCTGGCACCGGGCTCTCTCATGGCTCATTTGTCACCCCTTTTAAATGCAAAGAAAACAAACTGGGCTGACCTAAGATAAAAAAAAAATATTCATGTTGACCAACGGGTTTTGATGTGTATACGCCATCAACTACCTTTGTCTACAAAGGTGAAAATGACATTTTCTGAGCGTTTTACAAGGGGAATGTAAGGGAGACAGCTGAAACAGAAGCAGAACTGTCAAGGATTCAATAGAAAGTGGCTTTGTTCTTCATTGATTCACTCACTACTCTTGCAACACTAAAGGCTAGACACTACGTATGCTACCTATGCCCTCTGATAGGGCAGTGTTTAGACCTTTCAGGTCTTTGCCCTTGGGGAGTATACTGTGGGGTAAAGAGAGAGGGAGTCAGACATAGTCAAGAGAAGATATGTGGCAAAATATTACATGCAATATTAAATATTAAAGTGTCACAAAGACTTTAATCTAGAGCTGGGTTTCTAGAAGGAAGTGTCACACAAGATGCCAGGTCTGAAATGTGGGTCAAGGTTAGTTAGGAAAGGGGCAGTGGGAAATGGGGGGGTGGAACTGTTCTGGGGGAAGGATATTAATTTGGAACAGGGCTTGGGATTTGTTGCTAGAAATTGCCGGAATTTAACTCTAATAGCTAGCCTGTTGTGTTCCTTCTATATACCAAGTTATGTGTTGACAGTTGTTGCCCTTACTCCTTTATTTGACTTTTGCAAGGTACATGTTATATGCACATAAAGAAACAAAAAAGCCTAGGAAAATTAAGTGAGGGGGAGAAATGGGACCAGAATTTAAGTTTATATTATGCATGTTGAGTCAGGAGAGCAGAAAGAGTCAGTGATGGTGGGGGCTCTTCATTTCAAACGGTCTTATTGGTCTCTTCTCAGGATCCATGCCCAGGACTGTTAGTTCAGCTACATGGCAAGTCCATCTGTCCCTGGAGCCTGGGACTCTAGCAGGTGATGCCAAAAGAAGGAAGACTCTCAAGCTGTTCCCTCTAAAGCACTGCTGGTCAGTTTAGTTGTTGGAACGTCATAGACCTGGGTAGGTCAGATGGAGAACATTCCTTCTTGGTATTTGTAGCGGTGGCAGCTTGAGACCAGGGCGCCAGCACGGTGACTTTCTGGTGCGCGTCTCCGTGTTTTGCAGGTAGTTGTCTTCTTGTCCTGTCGTCTTCTTTTCCTGTGGGAAACGCACCGAGAAGCAAACTGCCTCCTGGATCTCTCAGCCTATGATACGGGTTGAGACTCACCCTCACTTTGAGACTGACTTTGGTGAGCATGCAGAAGTTAGGTGTGATGATGATTTACGCTACGAAGGAAGGAGGTGGGGCTGTCATAGTACAGGGCGGCATTCCCACCTGGGACTGATGGAAGTTAAGCCTAGCTTGACCCTAAAGATGCAGACTTCTGTTTTAATTTGCTTTTTATCAACATACCAATAATTAGATTTCATTGCTGTCTTTTAAAAGCAAAAATTTGTTGTTGTTTCTCTTCTCTTACTTCTTCTCTATTCCTCCTACTCCTTTGTGCCCCCACCCCAGGAGTCCCATTTTCACTTTCATGTCATCTGGGCCCTTATCCGTCCCCTTCCACTTTCCTAACTCACCCGGTGTTTCTCTTGTGATCTCCTATCGAGTGTTACAGCCCATAGCCCATTCACGCCCCCTTATTTACATACACACAGATGTTAAAAGTTAAGGTATGCAAAGAAGAGAGAACATGTATGTGCTTTGTGTTTTTCTGGGTCTGGATCCCCTAACTTAATATAGTATTTTCCAGGTCTGTCCATTCTCCTGAGCATTTCCTAATTTCATCTTTCTCCACAGCCCAGTAAATTTCCACCATGTGTATACGCCACAGTTTCCCTTGCCCATTCTTCTTGCTTGACACTCAGCCTGGTTCTATTTTCTTGATATTATGAATAACAGAATAGTAAACATGCGTGAAGACATAAGAACTTCTAAGTCCTAGAAGAAAGAGACTTGCAGGTAGGTGTCTTACTGCTCAGGGCCTCTGGCCTCCACAGACTAGCGCTCATGATGTTTGAAGATGTTTATGGAGTCAGGGTTGCCGAGGGCCATCTTCTGAACTCTGTAGCATTTCCTGTTGGGAAGAGGGCTTGTGGAACATAGAGTTCTTGCACGACTGATAAATGGGCTTTGGCATGGTCTAACTTAGCCAGATCAGTAGGGAGTCTCTCTCTCTACCATCTTTTACCCCAGAAAACCTTTGCCTCGTTTGGTCTGGAGGATGAGGGAAAAGCAAATTCCGGGAAGTGATGTTGCTCTTGGCTCTGTGAGAAGGGTTCATCAACAAGCCGGTTCCAAACCCGATGGATTCTCTTAACTTTTCTCCTAGAAAGGAATCACTCAAGACACTCTGTCCTGAATGTGGGGCATATTGTGCTCCTCGTGGATCAGAGGTCAAGCACACCAGATTTATATGTCTCAGTCAACACAGAAACAAAGACAGGTTGATGGCGTCCTCTAAAAGAAGCCATTCTGGACTGTGGTCAATGCAGTGTGAAACCGAGGGGAGGTGAAAATATAATTATTAATGTCAGAGGTATGCTCTGAGGAATGTGTCACTATGTGACTTAGTCATTGTGTGGCCATCTTGGGGTGCTTATGCAAACCTAGATGGTGGGGGTTAGTGACTCATTGTGGCCTTTGATGCCATCAAGAAACATCACAGGCACCACCATATCGGTCAGTGCTACACAGGATACTGGCTTACCTTGCATTTGTTTTAATAAGAGGAGAAAAGGTACCCTCTAAAGTAGCACAGTACAGTAACACACAAATGGATACATAGTCATTTAATATCATTATCAAGTACCACCCACCAAATACAATTGCATCTGCATTTGCCTGATGTGCCTGGTGGCAGCGTGCCTGTCACCACGAGCATCACCGTGAGTAAGTGAGTAATACGTTGCCCTATCAGGTTACGATAGCAGCAGTGGCCCTCAGGAGATAAGCATTTCCCAGCCCCACCGCAATCTCTGGGATCGCCAACTTTTATGTGGTCGGTCATTGACTCAGTGTTCCTGGTACATGACAGGACTTTATCATTCAACGGAGCGATAAGATAACACAGTTGATCTTTCTGTTTTGCGTCCTTTGTAGGCTGCAGGCTTGTTCTATGGGAAAGGGGATAGGATTTACATGAAGTCCCTGTCTGTGATGTTAACTTTTAAAATGAGCACAAGAGGGAGAATAGCAGCAAGAGCCAGTCTTCAGTGTGCTTAGATGATGTTGCCTCCTTTCTGAACAATGAGATTTTTTTCAAATCTTACAATTGCTAACTTAACAAACTTAAAGGTGAAGTTGGGAATGGAGACAAATGCCTGTAATCCCGGTACTCAAGAGGCTGAGGCAGGAGAATCCCAAGTTTGAGGCCAGTGTGGATTATGTAAAGAGACCCTGTCTCAAATATAAAACAGACTAAGCTGGCTGTGGGGGAGGCAGAGACAGATGAATGTCCATGAGTTTGAGGCCAGCCTGGTCTACATAGTGAGTTCCAGGCCAGCCAAAGCTACATAGTGGGACCCTGTCTCAAAACAAGAAGAAACAAACAACTCCCCCACCCCCAAAACAAAACCAGAAAAAAAAGGCAAAATAAACCATATTCTTAAAACAATAAAAATAAAGCAAAGCTGAAAATGAAATGGGCTTATCTAGATTCCACAAATCTTAAGTCTTTGCATTAAAGAGAAAGAAAATGGCCAGTAAGTTAACACTTTCTCTTTAGGCAACTCTAAACAGTAGTATCTGTAATAACCATCAACATTAGTAACTCCAAAACAATGCCGGCCCTGGAACCGGAGCCAGTGTTGTGTTCTAATTGCTATTTGGAATCAGTCCAATCTGAAGCCATACGTCATTATGGGATGCTTCTATGAACCCGACTTGTGAATGTTCCACTCTTTCAGGACAGCTCCAGATTTGTCAATGACTACAAGACAGTGGTGTTGCCTCTAGAACATTTATGAAGCAGCGACTAAAACAAGGCTGATCTGACACGGTGTGCTCAACAAGATCAGAGTATACCCAAGCATTTCTTACCTAAAGGAGCTGTCTAGCTGGACAAGCATTTGTAGGCTTCATTATTTTTCTTGAGAAGATACTGAATGGAAAGGTGTATTATGCTCCCTGGCTCCTCAAACATCGGTAGTTGGACATACTAGGCTGTGTCTGCGTGCTTGACAATCAATGAGGAGGTATTATAGCGCAAGGGGAGACTATAAAAGTAAGCCATGAAATCCACAAGAAACCTAGACAGACATTGATGCTACCAAAGAAGGGCAAGTCTTGGGGAGCCCTCTCTAGAGCTTTCTGCTGCACTAACTTGTTTAATAAACAAGCTGGGGACAGAGCTGAGTAACAGATGTTGTTGGTAGGCGCCCTATGTCATTCATATGGGCTGTTGTGACTTTAGAAGGACATGTTTCCACCTAAGGATATACTGTTAGATGTTTTCCAGGTAAATGGAAGATTACATTTTTTTGGGCCAATAGCATGTTTTCATTTAGTTCCTTGCTTCCCTCCCCCTCAGTTTCCAATAAGGGGTCCCTTTTATTTGATTAAAGTATCTGTGTCTATCTGAGGTTGGAGCCTCTCTCAAGGAAGGCGTCTCTTCTGGACTGGGAATTGTCATCTGATACAATATCTATTTTCCAGAAGCCATTAGTTTCCAACAAACTGTTCAGATATATGTTTAGCTTTGCTTTAATGTAGGAGAACGGAATAGTTCTTATTGTTAAAAAATTCACAGCTTTATAATCAGTGTTGGTCAGTTTTTGCCAACTTAGCTCAAACCTAGACACACCTGAAAGAAGAAATCTCAAGTGAGGAATTGCCTCCATCAGATTGGCTTGTGGGCCATCCCAGGAAGGGGGACCTGGCCTATGCATAAAAGCAGGCTGAGCAAGCCAGAGGAAGCAAGTCAATCAACTGCATCCCTCTATGGTCTTTGCTTCAGTTCCTGCCTTTAGGTTCCTGCCTCGAGTTTCTGTCTTGACATCCTTGGATAACGGACTATAACTTATGAGCCAAATGAAGCTTTTCCTCTCCCAAGTTGCTTTTTGTCAGTGTTTATCACAGAAACACAGAAGGATGCTCAATTGTACCACAAGGACATGTTCTCAACTATGTTCATAGCAGCATTATTTGTCATAGCCAGAACCTGGAAACAACCTAAATGCCCCTTGACTGAAGAATGGATAAGGAAAATGTGGTACATTTACACAATGGAGTAAAAACACAATGGAAAAAACAACAACATTTTGAAATTTGCAGGCAAATGGATAGATCATATTGAGTGAGGTAACCCAGACCCAGAAAGACAAATATATATCCTCACTCATAAGTGACTTTTAGATATAAAGCAAAGAAAAACCAGCATACAATTCACAATCCCAGAGAACCTAGACAACAAAGAAGACATAAGATCTAAGAGAGACATACATGATCTAATCTACATGGGAAGTAGAAAAGGACAAGATCTCCTGAGTAAAATGGGAGCACGGGAATCATGGGAGAGGATAGAAGGCGAGAGGGGAGGAAGGAAGGGGAGTAAAAAAGCATATAGCTCAATAAAATCAATTTTAAAAAAGAAAAAGAGATAGTATTTGGATTCATAAATAGACAGCCTAAGTGAGTATGTCACTTATCTACTATGAGATCCTGGAAGGGATTATTTATTCAGGGAATAAGCAGTGAACATCAAAATGAACAAAGTCTCCATTGCTCCCTGAAGTTTGCCTAGGAGCTCCAGAGCTCTCTAGACCCTAAAAGGGTGTCCATTTAAGCAGAGTGTTCTCTACAGGCCTGGAACAGATGGGTAGTGTACCTCTGGTTACATTTCCAGGACACACCCAAGCTGTTCCTCTTACTTGGTCACCCGAAGAGAAGCAGTCTTCAACTCAAGCAGAGTAAAAGCGCTTGAGGGGGAAGCAGAGCCATTTCTGCCCACAGTGGCTATTCCAGGCTTCTTATTTATCCATTCCACAAGTGTTTATTCAACACTTGCTGAGTCACCCTGCAATGGCTTCTGGGATCCAGAGGTGGAAAGGCAGGGTGCCACCCTTCTGGAAATGATGAACTAGTGGGGAGACACTTAAATACTTCTTCTTTCATGTGAGTACCTATTGTGAGTGCTGCCGCCCAAGCCGAGGATTTGGGAGGCTTGGATTGGCATCCTGCTCACCAGCCCAAGCAGTTTGACGGCTTTGCACTTCGACTTCCATGTTTGCAAAATGGGCATGAACAGTAGTCTTATCTCTCTTGAGGCCAGGAAGTGCTGTAGTGAGAATGTTGAGTAAACTCAAAACCACAGAGGCTAAAAGGTGTCTCTCTTTAGCCTCAGGGAAGGAAAGAATCCAAGGACAGCTGTGGTCACTTTTCTCCTCTGAAAGTCTCCAGCATTAGGATGTAGGTCAATGAACTGCCTCATCTTTATCAGCAATCCTTGCTTGGGAGTGGAGGACTTTTACCTTTTTTTAAGTTTGAGGTAGGAGAAGCGAGATCACAGAGTGAGGAAGGGTCTTGGCTTTCTTGGCTTGTAGATCAACATCCTCATCCCTTTGCTTCCCTTTGAAGTCACACAATGGACTTTTGATCCCGCCTCCTGGGGGAGAAGGTCAGTGTAGAGCCAGCAAGGGTACTCCCCCCCCACTCTCGGCAACATTCCTACCTTTTCCCAAGCCCCGGGTTCCTCCTGAGAGCCATGAGATTAGATAAATCCACTCTCACCCGTGAGTTGAAGAGAACAATCCCAGATCATGAGGACTGGCAAGGACAAGATGGAAACTTGAATTACCTTCCACTATCTAGACAGTCTGTCTGTTGTAGAAACAGAAGAACAAAGTACATATGTTTCTGTTGTGTTGCCGCAGAGAAATTTAGAACAAGAAGACAGGAGAGAAAGAGGGAGAAAGAAGAGGAGGAGAAAAAGAAAATGCAATATACATACGTACGTACATACATACATACAAACATACATAATACATGTGTGTATATTTATGTATATATATACATATATTCACACATATAAATTTATTTGATCATAAAGAAGCACAATATCGTTTGTGGGAAGTAAATGGAACTGGAGAGCATCATGTTAAGTGAAACCAAGCCAGCTCATAGGGGTATCTTCACATGGTCTTTCTCATACAGTATTTTTTCTAAAGTTTTATTTTTATTTTTTGCACGTGCCTGTGCGAGAGTGTATGCCCCCATGTGCATAAGTACCTACAGAGGCCAGAAGAGGGTATCAGACACTTTGGAACTGGAGTTCCAGGCAGTTGGGAGCTGCTTGACACAGGTATAGGCGATCCTACTCAATCCTCTGCAAGAGGAGTGAGTATGTGTTCTTCATGCTGTGGTTTATCTCCTGCCCAAGTTGGACCCCTTTTAGGGTGTGCGATATGGAAGTAGCTAAAGGACTGTCAAGGATAAGGAAGTAGGGTGGGGTGGGGAATGGGATAGTATAATAGAAGAGGCGAACAATGGCACGTTGTGTACATGTATGGGAATATCACAATGAAATACTGCACACTTACTATAGGCTAATATAAAAAGTCATACAGGCAGTCTGGAGGTCTCCAGACCAGGATAAGCTACTCCTCCAGGTCTCTGTATTTCCACTGCCACCCCAAGGAGCTGCTCATTCACTTAGTCACTTCTACTAGAGTTTTTGTGGGGGAAACAGTCCTACTTCGAATTTAGAGTATGCAATCATCTCAAGGTATACAGCTTGGGGGTTCAGCTCTTATAGTTCTGTATCTACAGACATCATCTTTGACAACGGGATGAGATTATATGCACTCTGTAATTTGTACTACTTCACTTTTCAATGTGGTCATCAATACAACGTCTTATTAGCACACACTTAAGTTAAAACTGTAGAATTTATGACCACTTTAAAAGCACATAAAAGAAACAGAAAGTAGGGTTGCTGTGATGGCCCAGTCAGAAAAAAAGAACTGCCTTGTAAGTGTGTTTGGATTCCTAGCACCCCTTTAATGCTAAGGAGGCAAAACAGCCTGCCTGTAATTCTAGCTCTCCAGAGGGCAACACAGGATCTCTGAGGGAAGCTGGTTAGCTGGAAGATGAACTGATGAGCTCTGGGATTAAGTGTCAGTAAATTAGAGGGGCAGTTATTGATGGAGGTACCAGAATCCAACCTCTGGCATTCATAGGCAGACAGACTGATAGACAGACAGACAGACAGACAGACACGCGCGCGCGCGCGCGCGCACACACACACACACACACACACACACACATTATTGGTAGGTGTGCCCTGCAAGCCTAGATCTTGCTGCATTTTTGAATTTGGAAATACTCATGGTCTTGTGTGTGTGTGTGTGTGTGTGTGTGTGTGTGTGTGTGTGTGTATTCATGTGGAAGGCAGAGGTGGATGTTAAGTGTCTTCCTCTATCACTTCTTCACTTAATACTTTTTAGGCAGGGTCTCACTTTAAATGCAGAGCACACTATTTTGGCTCCACTGGCTGGCCAGAGACACCCTGGAATCCTTCTGCCCCTGCCCTTCCCAAGTGCTGGGGTTACAGCTGCCGTGCCCATGTGCCCTGTCTTTCTTTACATGTGTGCTGGGGATAAGAACTCAGGTCCTCATGCCTGTGCAGGCAAAGCTTTACCATTGAGTCCTTTCCTCAATCTGCTTCATTTAAAGCAAAAATAATAATAATTTTCATCATTTTCAGCATCATCCCAGGGGCTTCCTGCTTTCACAAAGCTGCACAACATCACGACCAAGCATCAGGCAGTCATTTTCAAGAGCTTCAGGCATGCAACCATGAGTGAGGGGCCACTTGGGCGTGTGTGTGTGCACATGAGCGTGCACGTGCGTGCGTGTGTGTGTGTGTGTGTGTGTGTGAGAGAGAGAGAGACAGCTGCTAGAGTCACGTTGACACTGTGGTCCACCATTAAGACTCTAGCCTACACAATTTCCAATTGGATTAATATCTTAAATTTAAACATCACTTTCTCTTAAAAATTCCCCTTAGAATACTGGACTGTCCTTTCTTAGTCATGTTTCCAGAAGACTCACAGCCCAAGGGACACGGGAGTTGAAATCTCCCAACACAGCCTGATCTCTGTAATGTTTTCAAGGCTTTAATTAGCTCCTTACCCTAGTTTCTGTAGCTAGTGTCTTGTCGGCACCTTGAGATCATTCCAGCGACCTGAAATCTCATCAGGTTTGTTCTAAGGAAAATGAGAGCAATATTCCCATCAGCTTCTCATTGTTTTCTTGTTTTGTTTTGGTTAGAACAGAAATATCAAGAGAATCAGCTATTGTTCCCCTTATGTGAAAAAGCCATCATTCAGCAAAAGGTTACTTTTCCTTGTGAAAATCTTCATAATTATCATTTGTGTTGACAGATAATGAGGTGGAAGCGCAGAGAACTTAGCTGGGACTCTAGCAGGCAACGGCTTCCAGAGCCCACCACTAATCACCAGAAGGCAGTGCTCAGCAGGCAGTGGTCTCCAGAGTCCACCCCTAAGCACTGGGGACCAGTGCTCAGCAGGTAGAGCCCATCCCTAAGCACTGGGGACCAGTGCTCAGCAGGTAGAGCCCACCCCTAAGCACTGGGGGGGACAGTGCTCAGCAGGTGGAGTCCACCCCTAAGCATTGGGGACAGTGTTCAGCAGACAGATCCCATCCCTAAGCATTGGGGACAGTGTTCAGCAGGCAGTGGTCTCCAGTGTCCACCCTTACACACACACGGGAAGCAGCCCCTTCAGGCTAATCAGTGGTTCTTCTTCTCCCGTGATGATTCCTTTCAGAACTCCTAGTCCAACAAGAAAATTAGTGTCACAGAGAAGAACGGCACAAATGAACTGGGAAAAGAAGCCTGAGTTTGGTTTCTAGTCCTTTCTCAGTCTCCCTCTGTGAAGTGGATATATGGGATAGCTCTGGGTACCAAGAAATGATACCCACGGAGAAATTAGCATAAAGAAGTCAAAACACATTAGTACTTGTTGTATATGAAGTATTTCCCCAATGCTCTTGTATTGAACGTTTGATCCTCGATGCCAAGGTGGGGCTTCTGGGAATGGAAGGGCTCATGAGTTTCTTGCTTTGTCAGTGGATCAATCCTGTGGTATATTTGTGATCTGATGGCCCTGTTTGGAAAGTGATGGCAATGCTGGGCGGTGAGGCCTGTGGCAGGAAATGGATCCCCGAGTGAACCACATGCCTTTGAAGGATGAATTCTGTCCTCTACCCCTTCCTTTCTGTCTGTCTGCTTCTGGCTGCCACAAGGTAAGGATTTTTTTCTCCACTGTGTCCTGCTGTCCTATCGAACCTCATCTCAGGCCAATAGCAATGGATTCAGTCAATCCTAGACTGAGACCTCCAAATTTACCATGGGCCATAGCTTTAAATGGTTTCCCCCAGATACATTGTCATGGCAAAAACAAACAACCAAACAAACCAAAACCCAAAATTCTGACTAACACAATTTCCTGTTGCTGCTTGAAGGTAGATAGAACTGAGTGCCAGGAGTCTTAGACAGCCAGTGAGCTAACTTTCTTATACTGTAGTTCTCTCTATGAACAGTAGAAACAACCATACATACATTTCAGGGTAATTGATGGGGTACATAGGACATTATCTGACAGATTACAGAGCCTGAACAAATAGAAGTCTTCATCAATATTAGCTACATGAAACCCTAAGTTCTGTATATAAGCACTATTTTATAAAGGAGATTTTCCCTGTCATTAAGCAAAGGATAAAATAAGAGCCCAAGTTTCATATCTAAGCCAGGGATAACCCTCTTGACCAAATCCCTTCAAGTGGTTTATCCATTCCTAAAGCCCCCCTGAATATATATCATTTCCCAAAGTCCTGTTATCACCACCACTAAAGCCACCATCATTCTAGCAGGGGAAATAGCAAACACTAGAACCAGTCAACCAAATTCCAGGCTGCTTACGTGAGCCTGGCCAGGATGAAGCCGGGGATGGGAAGTACAGCATGCAGAAGCCATGTTGTGGACGCCAACGGAACTGTGGATGAGCCCCACGGACGCGTGTTTGCTGAAGGTGGCCATGCTGCCGGCGTCTATTCATACTGTGTCTGTGTGGGGACATGATCTGGAAGGCGCCCTGCTGAGGATGCGAGAGTTTGCAAGACAGTTCTGAAATCTGTCAGGAAAGCATGCTCGATACTCTCACCAGGACCACAAAGCAAAAGGTCTTATTCCAATTCAAAGTCACTGAAAGCGAACAAGCGGAGGAACACTAAGAGTGAAATAACATTGTAGGCCTGTTAGAAGCTCGAATTGTAGTACTGTGGGTGAGTCAGGGAGAAAAATCCCCAAATAACAGCCTGGATTAAGATTTCTTTCTATTTTTTTTCACCAGGTGATGTGATGTTATGTTAAAACAATGACTTCCCCATCCTGCTGTACCAAGCATTAAAAATAGCACTTGGAGTTTTTGTTAGCAGCTCTCTTGGGCATCGGCTTCAGTACTAACCACCTTTGTACACAGAACCGCTTTGGCTAGGAAAAGGGAAGTTGAAAGTCGCAAAGAGTGGTAAAAATCATACAGGAAGAAAACCATGGCAGCTCAACGTCGACCCCCAGGAACACTTGAAGACTTCTCTGGTGTTATTCCTCTTCTGCCCAGCGCTTTCACAAAACTGTTCGCAGTTCCCACACGCCGACTCTGTTGTAGACATGGAGGGGAGGCTGGAGAGCGAGAGCTCCCCTTGCGGGCTAGGCCTGCAGTTTGCTGGGTGGCCTTGAGCATGCTAAGTAAAAGCTGTTTGATTAGGTCGTAGGACTGACGCTAGGCATCGCAGATACAACCACAACCTCCAACTCCCGAAACCACTTTCATCGCGAAGGGATTGTTAGCGTGGTCCGTTTTCTGGATGTTTCATTTCTGTCTGAGAAAAAAACCCTAAACTTCACTGTGCAGTATGTCGAACAACCCACCAACATCCTCCCGTGCCCGGGACTAATTTGCTGCTGCTAGGGTAGCATGTGTAGAGGGAAGTGGTTCTTCAAGCGTGGTTTCTGCACCAGCAGCATCAGTACCACGGGAGACCGTGTAGACTAGCATATTCACACAGACCTGCGGGTCCTAGAGCCGCTGGGACTGCTTTCCAGGGGCTTCGGGTTCGACACGGATGGATTAGTTTTATAATTTGGAAATTTTATTCTATCACTCCAATGAATCAAAATTCTGTGTAAAGCCTGACGAAGAAACCCTGCCACTGATTTCTTCCTTATACTCTCTGATACAGCTCGGACATCTGGAGTCACCTATCATAGTCGATCTTTAACAGGGCGATCCCGCAAACCGCCTTTCCCACACCTTTAAAATGTTCTGTTCTAGTACCAAGTTTAAAAGCCTTAACAAAGGAGGAGATTAAAGTGCTCTCATGTGGTTTGCAGACACGTGGATCTATAGATTATCTATAGTCCTCGCTCAGTGACTAATGAGATCGGCTGCAGGACTGAGAGACACATCTGGTCATCCAGAGATGAGTGAAATCACAGGTAGACTCGTCCCTTCTCCAGCAGAGCATGAGAACTTGGATGTGTGTGCCAGTAAGGTCAGCTGACTTTGGCGGGTCTTGTTGGTTGAAGAATGACCCAGTGTTTCCCAGAGCTGGCTGATACTCAGCAGAGCAGGGAGCCAGTTTAGTGTTTGGCAGAATGGCGCTGCTATTAACCAGGGTGGGTGGGGAAGCTTACATCACGGAGATGGGCAGACCCTGTAACTGAGGACTTACATACCTATGTAGATTTATGAGAACACGAGGTTCGTAAATGCCTATTGGCTGAGCTCATCTACTCAAGATTGAAGACTCGTAATTATGAGACCAGAAAGGTGTGCTAGGGCTTAAGATCACACACTACTCTGGCAGAGGCAGAGGACTGAATTTGATTCCCGGCACCCATGCCAGATTGTCCACCACTGTCCCTAACTCCAGCTCTGCAGAGGGTCAGGGATCCACTACCCTGTTCTGGCCTCTATGAGCACCTGCCGTCACACATACATACCACACGTACATACCCACAAATGAAAATAAAATAAATCTTAAAAGTGGAAAGGATCACGCTGTGTGTGTCAGGTTGACACCTGCACTGGAATAGCAGAAGATTTGCTGGGGGACGTCACGCCACCTGACTGCTGTTGTCTTTGCTCCAGCAATAAATTCCCTACCACTCAACTGAACACTTCGGTATAGACCATCTAGGTATCTGCCGGGAACTCTTGTGTCCTGCTGGCCACCACCTGTTGCTACTGCCAAGAGGAAGACCTAATGAGTATCAGAACTGGGGGGCTTGGCCACCTGAGGGACCCCTGGTCCATGCTTTGTCTCCTTCTCCTTGTAGTTAGCTCTCTTGCCAACTACAGGACCGTAGTTCTCCGTGAAAGGACTGTCTTCATTTGATTTAAGACATCACTGGCTCTGCTGCATCAGGTCTCCAGATGTGCTCCAGTCTCAGCTCAGGATTAGACTTAGGTCAAGTTCAAATGAGGACGCCTTCTTCTAATTAGCCTATAGGTGATTTATTGAGTTGCTATTTCTGTGATTTTTGCTTACGATATCCTCAAGACCTTTTTAAAAATAAAACAGAGATGTTGCAGACTCAGCTCGTAAATCCTGGCTTATTGGTTATAGTTGACCTGGGGATTTTTAAAATAAGTTCTGAAGTGTGATGGGCCATTAGAAATCACTTCTGTGTTAGATGACTAAAAACACCACAAAATAGTTCAAAATATCCTTTAATTTTATTGCATTTTTTTTTTTGTGCTGGGGATGGAACTCAGAGCCTCATGCACTGTAGACAAATGTTCATACAACATCCTTTTACAAATGTTGTATAGAAAAAGTCTTCCAGTGCCAAAATCACAGAAAGAAGTAGAAACCTGTCTATTGAGTACACAAGTTAATTCTGTGTCTGCTGGCGACCAGGTCTGAGAGTGCCAGGATGTCAATCAGTGGGAAACTACTGCCTTCATTAGTTAGCGTCAGATGCATGAACAAAAGTGTTAGTCTACAAGCACATTGCTGAGATGAATCCATGTTGCTGCATAATGTCATTCTATGATTTCTTGATTACATATGATATTCTTGCTCACTCTCCTGTGATAGGACATTGGGAAGTTCTAACGTTTCTATTCCTTTAAAAAAGATTTAATTTGTGTGTGTGTGCATGCGTGTGTGTGTGTGTGTGTGTGTGTGTGCGTGCCCTTGGAGGCTAGAAAAGGACACTGAATTCCCTGGAGCTGGAGTTATAGCCAGTTGTGAGCAGCCTGATGTGGGTGCTGGGAGCTGAACTCTGGTCTACTGGAAGAGGAGGGACAAATGGTCTTAGCCACCGAGCATCTTTCAGGTCCTATGATTTTTATCCTTAAGCACTTACGCATATGTATTCATATGTCTCTCGACATACATCAGCCATACTTCTTAAGGACAGCATATTTTAAGCAGAACTCCTAGGTCCATTTCACTTGCTGTCTTTCCTGGGATACACATCGTCAACTGGATTGTGCACAGCATTCCACATCGCTGGTTAAGGGCAGATGCTCTGTACACGCACCAGCTATGAAACTCGCACTCTTTTTGAAGAGAGGTTAAACACTCATAATTTTTAGTTTTGTGCAATATAAGAAAAATCAACAAAATTCACTAAAATTTGACTTTTTAAATTTATTTGGGGGTGTGTTTTTCTATTGTTCATCACCTTATTGTTTTTTATTTTCAAATTATTATTATTTTTTTGAGATAGGATCTTATCGTGTAGCCCTGACTGGGCTTCAGCTCCCTAGGTAGATCAGGCTATCTAATTTACAGAGCTCCATCTCCCTGCCTCTGTCTCCGAGTGTGAGGGATAAATGTATGTGCCACCACATCTGTCTGCCTATGATGAAAGATCTGCTGTAAATTGCTTGGGTTTGAACTAATCCTGGGAGATTTCCAGTGTTTGATGTCTGGCGCTCCATTCCTCAGCTGGGCAGCCTGTTATTTGGGAAGGCTTTGGTCAGTAACAACGAGTTAGTGAGTCAACTCGAATGAGTCTCCCTTTTCCTACCAAGTACCTAACCTAATATAGAACAGAACACTCATTTCCTCCATCTGGAAGCTGCTTTTTCTCTTGTTGGATGCTGTTTTCAAAACACTGTGAGCGTACGCCTCTGGAACTGGTTGCAATTCCAAGCGCAACAGCGGGTTCAAGTGAGATTATTGCCAAGTAAGTTGGGAGCCAAGCTGGGAGCCTAGTGAGAAGTCAAGATGGATCTCTGGGAGAAACCAATGCCTAGAGGTCCCATGTCCATAGCACTTGTCACAGATTCTCTCTCTGTCTAAAAGATTGTCTAGGGGCAATTTCTAATAAATTCACATATCTTAATGGTTCTCTCTGAGGCAGGAAGTGATATGTTTGTTTCCTGGCTGTACAGCTGGGCTTTTAACTTCAAAGTCCAGGATAGAGTCTCAATGAGTCCATTTTCAAAACCATTTTGTTCACATATGTTTGTGTGTGACTTTATCGGGAAATTTTTTGTGTTCCTTGTACAACAAACAAAGAAACAACAATGACAACAAAAGCCACCCCCCAAACAAAAACTCTGTGCTTGTGGTGATTTTGAGTGAGATGTACCCCATAGTCTTGGGCATTTGAATACCTGGTCCTCAGTTGGTGGCACTATTTGGGGAGGCTTAGGAGATGTGGTCTTATTGGAAGAAGTGTGTCAATGGGTGCAGGTTGTGAGGTTTTAAGAGCCGCATATCTCCTAGTTTACTCTTTTTTGTTTCCTGCTTTTGGTTTAAAATGTGAGCTCTCAGTTTAATGCCCTAACTGTCATGTCTGCTTCCCTGCTGTGACGGTGGTGGGCCCTTAGCCTTAGCACTGAACTGTCTGCCCAGACAAGTCCTTCCTTCTATAGTCGTCATGGTCAAGGTGTTCACTGGAGCAATAGAAAAGTGTGCAAGACAGTGTGAGTGCTACAACTATACCTTCAGTTGTAGTTAGGAGATCATGGTGTGCAGACTGTCTTAGCAGCCCCAAATCCGATGCTTCGTTTTAACTTCACCTCATGTACAAATCTGAGGGTATTGGAGGTATCTTTCCAACTCTGAAGTTCTGTCCTACAATATCCCTTTTACTGTCCAGGTTAAAAACAAACTATCAGCCAAACCTACAACACTTTAAAAATATCATTTGGGTTGCACTGGGGACGTTACCTAACAGTAGAGCGCTTGGCTAGCACACTCTCAAATCTCAGCACTGGAAAAGAAAAATGAAATCAAAATAAAATTTAAATGTTGAAAGCTGGGGAAGGCAGCCTGCAGGACGGCAATGTGTAATAATACACGGGCATGAAAGTGTCATCATGAAACCCAGTTTTTGGTATGCTAACCATAAATTATTTTTAAATGTTCCAAGATAATTTGAGGTGCTTGAGGGACTTGGTCATTGATTCTTATAAAATAAAAACTTGCTACAATATTATTATGAATTAAGAGATGTAGCATATATATATATATATATATATATATATATATATGTATGTATGTATGTATGTATCACGTAAGTCAATGTCTGGGGCTAGAGAAACGGATCAGTGGTTACAAGATATTGCTGCTCCAGGGACCTAAGTTCCAGTTCATGGCATGCATGTTGGGTGGCTCACAACCACCTGTGATCAAACTCCAGGACCCCAACACCCTCTTCCAGCCTCTGCAGGTACCCATACACAAACCACACACCCCCACAAACCCTACAAAAAAGAAAGTCAAAATCTATTTGTCAACCTGAATTAATTTTAGAAATATCTCATATTTTCTACACAAAGCTTTAAAAACTGTTGATGCAATAAACAAAAGAGGAAAAATGAGACCTTTCTCTGTTAGTATTTTTTCTCAATTTGGTGATAGACACACATTTGTAAGGGCCGTTCTTTTAAATTTTATTTTAAAATATCTATCTTTTCTCATTTTCATGTCAAATCCAGTTCCCATTCTTCACCCCACCCCTGCTCCCTCCACCTTCCCCTCTATCCCATCCCCATCCACTCCTCAGAGAGGGTAAGACTTTCTATAAGGAGTAAACAAAGTTTAGCACATTGCTTTGAGGCAGGATCAAGACCCCCCCCACACACTATATCTAGACTGAGTAAGGTATCTCTCCAAAGAGAATGGGTTCCAAAAAGCTAGTACAAACACCAGGGATAAATCCTGGTGCCAGTGCCAGAGACTCTACAGTGTGTCCCAGAAGGCTGGGGTCTTAACAGGCAGAGATACATTAGAAGGAGCTTAATACCAGTGGATCTCTCTGCCAGCCACTTCACAGTGGGTTTCCTGATAAGTTCTGCTAAGGACTGGGACATTGCTACATTTTTCTGCTGAGTTTATCAGTCAGGCGGCTCTGTATCGGCACAGAAAGCTAACTGTGCATCACCCTTTAAGGCACACTTCCAGGAAAGGCACATTCCACCTCCTATTATAGAGGTATAGACTGGAAGGAGCCAGTGAGCCCAATCAGAGCAGGACTGCCTCATGGGTCACCCACAAGGTCTCCCCGCAGGGCTGTGAGGTCATTTGCTTGGGAGAGAGACCCTGTGTTGTAGGATATAGCTTGAGTTTCCTTGGAACACACTGGTCAGTCCAGGCTGTGTGGAGTGTATTAATGCTTACCTAGAGCAAAAAGCAAGCAAAGATCAAGTATAAATCAAAGTAAATCCAGTAAGGAAAAACTCCCCAACACTCTTGGCACCTTCCTAAGAGAGGGAAGTGTAGCAGCTGCCCAGGAACTAGACCCTCATGACTTCCAGACCTTGGGAAATGTTGTTGCCATCACAAATCTTCCCTCAAAGAGAAGGTGGTGCCATCCTAGATCTCCCTTCATCTACTCATTTATTCTATCTCCTCTCCCTTCTAAATACTTCTCAGGTCCACTGTACTCCAACAGACAGCTAACACGACACATTGCCTGGTTTTCTGCCCTATTGTTCTTCTCTTCAAATCGGAACTCTTTGAGTGAGGTAGAACGGAATGATACATCAGACACCAGACACTGACTCGTAAGGAGATAGATACATCCAATAAGTGTTTTAGAAGTATGTGCGAAGAATGCTACTAGGCTGGAATATTTAGCACAATGCCTAGAATGTCTAGGAAGGCTGCCCAGGCCTGGGCTGCATGCTAAGGTGGAGCTGGAATGTCTGATTGGAGTTGTGGTTTGGAATCCAAGGCTCCACAGTGCTTCCTTTGGGTGGTGCAATGGTCTTCCACTGTTTGCTTCTCTCTGGCTGAGCTCCTCTCCACAAAAGGGAAACTTTATCATTTCAGCTACGCATGTTTGTGTGGATGGCTGTGTGTGTGTGTGTGTGTGTGAGCCAGAGGTTGCCATCAGGTTCCTTCTTCACCTTCCACTTCATTTTCTGAGACACGGTCTCTACCAGCACCTGAATTTGGCTAGACCAGCTGACTGGCCAACAGGACACATGACCCTCTGCCTCTGTATTCCTAGAACCGGGGTTATAAGCATATCCTTAACAATCACGTTTGAGTTCGAGGG